GGCAATCGTGGCGCAGAAAGGCGTCATTATTACGTCAGAGTGTGGGTAATGTGTGGCTGACTCGACAGAAAGAAAATGATGGTGTTGCTGGGTCAAAACTAAGGTGCAGTCGGAACCTCACAGGAAACTAAAACGCCAAGTTTCTTAGTCGACACAGTGCTCAGTCAAAACTGGGTTTTTGAGGGGGAATCTTGTTAGCTGGAAGATTTCGACTGAGAAAAATTGACATAGAAGCTGACTTGTGGGTTGACAAGCTAGGAAAGGTGGTGAAGGAAACGAGGTAAGTCGACGCCAGCAGAAGAAGGTTGTAAGTCAACTTAAGATGATTTCGTCGAAAGTGTCGACTGGTGGCCAAGGAAACTGGCACGACGTATGAGAACTTTTGAGCGGGAAGGAAATTTGAAAAGTTAAGAACGTGGGAAAGTTACAAAAGTGGTGGAGGGACACGTGGCGCCACCAAGACTAACATAGCAGTTATTTTCTTTCCCTATTTAAGGCAATGCCCATTTTCATTTTAAGGGGGGCATTTTGTAACATTGTAAGGGAAAAACACTATGTGTACCAAGCGTTAAAAGAAAAGAATTCATTCCTGCAAAATGTATGATCGCGTCCACATTTCCTTTTAAAAGCAATTTACATTACCAAGCTTTAAGATATTTTGATCTTTTACTCATCTATTTTATTTTTCCTTTATTTGATATACACATTTTTATTCGAGTTTGTTTCCAATTTATTCTAAACGAAATCATTCTACCACTGTCGCATAGACTCGACCAGATAATTCTGGAATTTGTTTGGTCGGTCCCGCAGGTAAACCTGCGTTAGAAGGTCAGATGTTGTTCGCGCGAAAACTTGGTGCGAACACATGCATAAATAATTAAAATTAAATTTTATTCAACGTTGAAAGATCATAGATTGACTTACTTTGTTGTCCCACAGATGACGAGCGACGTGGTTCTGATTCCTCACCAAAAGTGACGTATCAGACAGTCCTCCGGGAAATGGTGGATGCAATGGAATATGAATAGGAACAGGTGCAGGTGAATCAATTTGATCTTCCTCTCGATTCGACTATTGTCGGATTGTCCTTCCATCAGCGTATCGACGATAGATGTGTTCGTCGTGTCCTCTAAAGCGAGCCACTTTAAAAAAAATAATTAATTAACGTGAATAAACCGAAAAAAAAATGTATGTTAAGATATCCAATGAAGACATTAATAGAACTGGATAACAAGACATCAAGTTATCCGGTGAAGACATTAACAGAACCAGATAACATGACATCAAGTTATCCGGTGTGGAAAATATATAAACCGGATAATACGATGCCAAGTTATCCGGTGAGAAATAACAAAAAAACAAACCGGAAAACTTACTAGTTCTCCGGTGTGAAAAAGTTGCGAACCAAAAGTCTACTAGGTGGGTTCTCCGGGAATACAGCGTGAAAGCAAATTTTTTACCGCTCTTGGTGGGATGAAATGAGGAAAAATGTGAAAATTTTGAAATTATTAATATTTATACAAAGTTATTTTCGTTCAAATATTTAATTCGTAGGGGTATGGGGATATTTGCAAGGGTATGGGGTAAATTTTCTAATTTTTATTATTTTTTTAAAAATGGAATCGAACCAACTAACATGTTTGGTTGAGTTGGGTTCCGTTCGAGTTCGGTTGATCGGTTTATAATATTTTTTTTTCAAATATTATATTCATCGGTGTATTCTACAGTATCATGTTTTTTTTGGTGTATTTTCTACTATTATTTTTTAAAAATAATATATTTCATCTATTTCATACTCTACTTTCCAAACAATTTACAAGTTGTACTTAATCTATACAATACAGCGACATGATTTTCATTGCATCATGAAATAAGTTTACTATCAAATACAAAACTCGACACTTAAAAGTGACTAATACAACCAAAATAAGTTCACTATCACATACTCCCTCCGTCCCACAATGAGTGACACAGTTGACCATTTTACACATATTAAAAAAATTGGAATAGTTAAAGAGAGAATAAGGTTTTTACTAAAATATTTTTTATCATGCATTGGGAGTGATGAAAGTAATAATAATTAAAGGAAAAAAAATTAATTTGCATTGAAAATTGAAATTTTCAAATAGATTACTCATTGTGAGAAAAAAAAGTATAAAGTTGACACTTAGAAGTGACTAATACAAGAAAAATAAGTTTATCATCAAATACATAAGTTGGTATTTGGCAGCAACTAATACAACCAAAATAAATTTACCTTCATATCAAATATAAAATACAACCAAATTCGTTAATTCTCCATCAAATAACAAAATACAAGAAAAATAAAATTTCAATTCCTTATCCACTTGAGTCACCAATTCAACTTCCTAAAATAAATTAAAACAAACACATTTTTAGAATATAGAACATTGAATTTATTTTCATTTTGAACGCATCAAATTAAATTCAACTTCCATCATTGTTAACCAGAACACTAGCTAGATGTATTACAACAATTTCTAAAATTTAAAACACACACGAACCTTAAAGCTTATTTTGACAAAATCGTAAATAAAGTAAACAATAAAAAAATTAAGTTTTCATACATTCTTCAGATTCTGGTACTTCATCCATTTTTCATAATATATAACTCAACCAAGTAAAACAATATAAATAAATAACCATTTTTCATTAAAAAATTAAATCTTTCTCAATCAGTTACTAAGAAATTCATCCATCGCAATGAGTGATGTGAGTGAAGGAAGAAATATGTATAAATGAAGCTTTACAAAAAAAGTTTCTTTGATAACAACAACGATAATGATAAACTTAACAAATTTTTCTTAATAAATTAAGTTTCTATAACTAAAAAGTTGATAATTGATAATAGATTGAAAACTTAACAAATAAGACACAACAATAACAATAAAATATTGCAATATACATAAATTAATATACTTTACATCTCAAACACATATCAAAATTATTTTGTAAAAAGACTGGAAGAGATTTTGTTGAATAAGAAAAAAGTAAAAAAGATTTAAAATAAAATAAAATTAACTAAGAGAATTTGAAACACGAAAAAGACAACTAGAACAAAGCAGAAGGACGGTGATGAGAGAAATTATAGTGGTGGCTGGTGAGAGCAATTTTTTGTGACTTAGAATTTCAACTTCTATATTTGAATTTTGGTTGTTGACTTCCTGTTTTGCTAAAAGAAAAGAAGTGTAAACAAAGATGAGGAAGGATTGGGTTGGTGTAAAATTTGGACTTAATAATGGGCTGAATAAAAGATTAAGTAGGTAACTATAACCATCAGTTTGACACCGATTTAATGGTTCCTAAAAACTAAAGTCGAAAAGCAAATCAAACCACCTTGCTTTTTATCGATTTGGTTTGTTGGTTTAATAAGTTTTTCCTAATCTAATTACACCCTTAGTTTTAACCACATGAACGATCCTATACTTGGCGAAAAAGATTGAATGTGTGTTTGGTTTTATGTGAAGAAAATCAATTTTAAGTGAACTAATTCTATAAAATTGATTATGTGTATGTCCGGTTTCGTGTTTGGAGCATTTAGAATTGATTTTAGACGTGTAGAATTGATTATGCTTTATAAAAGTAATTCTTTTTGAAGATAACATTTGTAACTTTTTGAGTATAAACATACTTTTTACGATGAAATTTACCGTTCAATTCACTTTAGTAGAAAATTATTTAAACATAAACCATTTACGTTCAATTCACTATTAACCAAAATCAACTTTACAAAATCAATTCACTTAAAGTTATCTTCTTCAGTGTAAAACTAAACAAACTATAGTTAAAATGAGTTGAAGGTAAAGTAATTTGTGTTTTCATTAATGTTTATAAAATTGTGCCATTTACGTTCAATTCACTATTAACCAAAATCAACTTTACAAAATCAATTCACTTAAAGTTATCTTCTTCAGTGTAAAACTAAACAAACTATAGTTAAAATGAGTTGAAGGTAAAGTAATTTGTGTTTTCATTAATGTTTATAAAATTGTGTTGAAAACTAAATTTAAGTGTAAAAATCATGTTTAGAATAAAAAACTACAAATTATATTTTTCATTAGAATCAGCTCAGAAAGTATAATAAATTATATTCAATATCAACCAAACATGTCAAAATCAATTTTACACATCTATAATCAATTATATTAAAAGTACACCGAAACTCCTTAGAGTTATACTCACTTCCACCATCAATTTTAAGAATACTTATAATCATTGTCTTCAAATCAAATTTAGACACCATTTGTTAAGAATTAAGAAAGTATATATTGATTCTATTGAATGTTTGTTATATTTCTATATGACTTAAAATCAAAATTAGACACCATTTGTGAAGAACTAATAAGTCAATGTGCTATTGATTCTATTTAATGTTTGTTATATTTATACATGAGTTTGATTAACTAACTAACAAAAATGATAGTTAAATCTTAACCAACGGTCACTATACTATACAGTTAGTTACTAAGTACTAACTGATTAATTGTTAAACTAGGACAACCAGCTATAAATTTCACATTGGACAAAATATGTCATAAATATCTATTTATAAATGGGAACAATTCTTATAAATCGAGAGAAGTCAAACGTTTAGAAACTAGAGGTAGAGGAAATGAAATCAATTAATCAATGAGATCAAATTAAAATGAACATACTATAATATCAAAAAAATAATATTAATATACACAAACATTATTTGTATTTTGAAAAGAAATGCTAACCAAGTGGTGATGGGAATTTGGAAGTATAAATTTTACATTTAAATACCCAGGAGCACAAGTATCAACCCCATAACTTAAGATACTCAGCATCAAATATAACTAGCAACTATTACTTTGCATTGCCAGGTTTCTACTTTATACTACAAGCCCCCTGTTTCATCATATCTATCAAACCCAGCATCCTGCTGGCCTAGAAGTCCTCAGGGGTTGTTGCAACAACAGGTGTGTATTTAAGAATAGCATAGCCAATGTTGTCCATTACATCTCAATGTCTTCAAGATCAGGGAGAGGAAACCGAAGAATTGCAGCAATGCCACTTATCTGTTCTAGTTCTGTTCATCAATGTAAAAATGGCAAATTAAATTTAAAACAAGTAAAAACTTGAATCGCAAATCTCTCCAAGTACTAAAACTTACGTTCTCCAGAGACATGCATGGATGAAAATACATGGACAGAACCTCCAGAATCCTTAACTGAATTGACCAAGTTGACAAACTTTTTCCGCGTTGGTATATCTGCATTCCTATAACCAAAAGCATGCATATCTATTTATATTTACGGCACCATATCAAAGATAGAACAACCCCAGCTTGTTGATTTGATTCAGAATATTTTACAAACCTGAAAAGAGAATCTGCAATGAGAAGGGTTTGCACAGCTAGTCTTTCATGGGCAACCTCAACATGTTTTGCTCCATAACAAGCACGTGCTGAATCCTGTCCCAGTCCAAAAATATTCAATCAAGATTTCCTAGATGTTTAAAAATGCAACATTTTGGTAGTGACATTTAGTGTAAGAGAGAAACACAGGAAATATAATAAAAACATTGGGATCTGGCATCTTACTTTTATGCATGTAATAAATGTAAAACCTAGGAAGATGGAAGCTTTAAAATGTTTTCTGTGCTAATGTTTGATATACAAATTTACTACCGATTCCACTGTAGATACTGATACAGTACTTGATCCTTGAATACTTGATAAATGTTAGTTTGTAATGTATTTCTAGTTGTGATGCTTTAGTATGTATTTTATAATAACATTGTGATAAATTATGCTGTTAGTAGCAACAGATTTTTTAAAAGGAAAATGACATTTCAACCATAAATATAGGCAAGGAAAACAAGAGCATTTCAAGTATAGAACCTGACATTTGAAAGCATGTCGTAAAAATCCTTCAGAATTCGAACCTGGAGAAAAAGAAAGAACTCTTGTTTCAGACTCAACTAAACAGGATAAGGAAATAACTCAGCAAAAAATGCCTAGTACTTGGTTTTTTTGATGGTACCTCTTGTGCTGCCTTAGTATCTTTTATCATACTCATGACATTTGGAGCATCCAGAACCTCTTTTAAACTATGCCTACAGAAAAGAAAATCTAATGTGAGAGTCAGATCAAATACTACTGTATCCATCAGCAAAGTTCATCCTTAAACAATAGTGTGTGAATCTATGATTGCCCACATTTTTTTCTAAATTTTAAAGAAGGCCTGAGATTTGGCATTCACTTAAAATCTTATATAATGAGCACATACAACAACAAAACATAATTCAATCGCCAGAAGCCTGAAAACAACTATATAACTTGAGTAGAATCAAGTGTTAAAATATTGGAAAGTATGGGTTGCATTACAATAATTAAAAGTCACAGCTGTCTTCACAAACCTCAAACAATACTTTTTATCATATCTCATCAGAGAAATTATGCAAGTAACCTACATCTATCTAATAAAGAAAGCAACCATACTTGTATCCTGAGCTTGTGTGCGCAAGAATGATGCGAGACTTGTTTTCAATAATAGGTCGCAGTTGTTTTCTTTCGGCCTCCAAAAATAAGTGACGATGAAACTGATCCTGGAACATAAATAGAGACATACAATATAAAATATAAGTATAACAAACATGCTATACCAAATCCCAGCTAAGCTTATGCATGTATATTATCATCATTATAAATATATGTGTGGTACAAATTTGTAATAATCGACAAGAATGAAGAAGCCCAAATAGAAAAGAACAGGGAAAAAGTTAACTTACTTTTGTAAATCCAGGACTCGCAATCACAGCACAACGAACCACGTTGAAATCTATAATTCTCAAGAATGCCTAAAACAGAACAGTAAAATCTGTTAAACTTTTATATGCCCTTTCCCAATTTTGTGGATAAAAGAATAAATATATTATTAGAGAGATTGAATAAAAGAGTGCTGAAAAAGATGAGGATAAGGTATCCACTTAATTGAGAGAGATTGAATATAAGAAAAGGATGCAGAAAAAGATGAGGATAAGGTATCTTCTTAATTGCGGAACAAAGAAACATAGCAAAAACAAAGTCATCATCAAAATAGAAAGATGTTTGAGACATGACATCCTCATCCAGACATATCATGTTACTGGATATAATATAGTCTTTAGCAAGACACATATGCTTGGCAAATGGGTATAACCCACTTTCTATTTTATATGTAAAACATATCACAAAACGAGAATAAATGCTAAGCATGAGAAATACAAGTCTTTGGGAAGAATTTACCTGCAAAACATTATCAAAGAACTTGTTCAAAGCCTACAAAAAGGAAGAGAGTGGTTTAGAATTAGAACAGCCGTGTTATAGGATTCATTTACAAATGTATCATTGTAATTTGTAATAGAGAGGGAAGAGACAAAGAGACCATACTCTCTCATAACCAGCAATAGCAGGCCCATGTTTGCGAGGAATTGAAGCTTCTATTCGTGAACGAGTAACAGTCATGCTGTAATATCAGTCATAATATGATGAATAAATTCATTGTAATGACAGATTAATCATATGTCAAAATTCAACTCAAACATCATCAAGAAAAAAAAAAGTATTTAATATCCAGGGTTCTTTGTTCCCCACAGAAATCAAACACAACTGAAACCAACAATCCTACTACTCTATCGAGTTTTGACGAAGTAGTCTAAGTATCTTCTTAATATTATAAACGTTACATGAAACATATTTAATGAATTTTTGTAATACCTTCTACCAACAAGGAGAATATGGGCTAATCCTTCTTGCATTAACACTACAGCTAGATCAGCACTTGCACCAGGATCTGCAAAATTAACATGGAATTTTGTTCACCAACACTGCTGTCAATTGAAGATCACTTAAACTAGCAATTTGTTCAAATACCGCTACGCAATACTGCTATAGGGCAGCTATAGTAAATATTTGACCACATTTTGTACTTAACAGCATATCATGGAACAAAAGCAATTTATTCAAATTCCACCACAGCATCACTATAGCTGCTATTTATCCATATTAACATTATTTACACCAATTATTATATTACAAGCTGAAAAGGTGAGGATTATGATTTTCATTTTTCATACCAAATACGAATGTAATTTTTTACATGAAGTATGACTTCATTTTTTCTACTTAAATAAATAGGTGCAAGATTGAAGATATCACAAAAAGTAGCAGCTCCGTGATTTCCCGTGATTCCCATCAACACATATTAGTATCGTCTATTATAAAATTGGCAGATTTATCAGGTAACCGATAACATACCAGAGGCCTGCTGGAGTACCTCCAAAGCATAAGAATCCCAGACATCCTACAAAAAGCAAGACCCAATATTCAGTGATACGATTCTTCAAAAAGGAAAAAGAAATTGTCATAAACCTCTCCAAATTTCAATATTATATTTAAAACAACCATAATTCTAACCAAAACGATATATCCAAGTAAAAGATCTAGTTTACATCCACTCAAAGCAAAGACATAAGAAACAGTAACAACAAGAATCATAACAATTACCTTCCTGAGCACGAAGGGTCGCTGTAACTCAATTTCTAAAGTATGAAATGCCCCAATCTGCATAAAGCAATAAATATAAGAAGTCAAATTTATCAGCTCAGCTGAAAACTGAGACTGACAGCACCTGTTAACTAACTATACCTTAACATGTTCATTCTCTAGAATATTCTTCCCGCGAACACGCAAAACAGCACCTTCTTTATCATAATCCACACCCTAAAACCAAAAAAAAAAAAAAACCTTAAGAAACAAACTCAAAACCCTATCAACATCTTGTTTACATTAATATATAAATATAAATATAAATAAAGGTTGCCGCCAGAGATTGAACTCTAAACAAACATATCTCACTTGTTTAACTCAACTGACACATATTAGTTGCTGCATTATTACATTATAAATAATAATAAAAATCCATGATATATACTTACATCTTCAACTTTAATTTCCAATTTGAGCTTAACACGTTCTGCATCTCTTCCACCATTAGCTGCTTCTCTAAGAACCTTCCTGTTACAACAACAACACAACTAGTAGTAATAAGCAAAAGAACATGAAAAATTCAATTTTATTTTTCAAATATAATCAAGAAAGTAACAACAACCACATGGCTAACCTAATAGTAACGGCCATGACAGAATCTCCAGGAGCTATCAAGTTATATACATACCATAGATCATCAGAATCCACTGGCACCATCTGTGTAACAAAAAAACGCGTGTTAAGAACAAATTTTAGAAATTGAAAATTGAATAATTGTGTGAAAATTGAGAATTGGGGATTGAACCTTGACGCTTCCAGGTCCATTGCGCACGAAGTCTTTACGAACGATTCTCATATCTATTGCTTTCTGCTACTTCCTTTACTTCTGTTTTTTCTAGTTATATATTTTCAATTCTTTTTTCTTTATTTGGTCGAATATTCTTATATTCAATTCAAAGTTGAAACTAAAGGTTGAACCTAAGAGACTTTCTAGGCCCAAATCTTTTTACCTATGGGCTATGCTATTCGTACCCTTATCCAAGTTTATATATCCAACCGTCAAAATAAAATAAATAAAGATAATCCTAACTTATATTTTAGGACACAAGTTAAAAAGTTAAATAAATAAAAAATTTGTATTGAAAATTGTGCATTGATTATAATAGAAATATATAAGTAATTTTTTTATTGTTGTTTTTTATACAAATTTTTTATAAATAAATTTGTTAACTTGTACCCAAAACACAAATTAGTATTACTCGTACAATAAAATATTTTGTGGGATTGGTATCTAAATTATAGTATATATTTGGTTGAAAAATTAACAAAGGCTAAAGAGGGTTTTAATAATTTGGACGCTAGAGTTTAAAGTGGTGTTTTTTTTTCTATTCTCGAGATTGAGATTAAGAAGCTTAGAAGATAATCATTTCAATTTTTTTTTCTATCCCAAATCAATTGTAATATCAAGGGTATGTTTGATTGGGGTAAATGGACGGTAGGGGAGGGGAGGGGAGGGAATATTTAATAATTTATATGTTTGGTTCAAATTTTAAGAGGGGGAAGGGAGGTAGATGGAGGGGACCAAAATCCCTCCTGAGCTACTTTTTGCTTCCCCCGATTTGAAAGGATTTGGAGGGGAGAGAAGATGTTTGATTTTAATTATAATTATATTTATATATTTATCCTTATTATTTATTTAAATATAAAATTTAACTTATAACAATGTTAAAAGTTTTATTTTAAACAAATTTAATCTTTCTTTTTATATTTGTTGTATTTTTATATCTTCATCTTACTATCGTTATATCTGTTAAAATTTTTTATTTATTTTTCATATTTTTATGTTAATTTTAGTTATCGTAATGTTTTTGTTTATAATAATAAGGGGACCAAAACTGTAATTTACCCAATTATATATTATAATCATTGCATTTTTATAAAGTATTTCATGATGATCTCTAATTGAATATTTATATTTCGTCAATAAATTTGTATTTGAATTATAAACGGTAAATATCACAAGTCTTATGATAAAAGTAGAAGGATAAAAAAGTAAATTAGTTTTAAATTACCTCCCTTCCCTTTGTGAACCAAACATATTTGTAAATAAAATGTCTCCCCTCCCCTCCCCTTTCATATTTTGAACCAAACATATATATAATTTGCGTTGTTGCTTTAGAAGTATTTAAATTTGTTTTGTTGTAAACAAAAGTTGTTATAAATATTAAATTCCAAGGTTACACATTTTTTTAATGACCAAAGTAAATCTATCTAAAATTTGTTCTATTCCACCCAATCTTTCTATTTTTTCAGTTGTATCCATTTCAGTTTTAGTTCGCGTGCTTTTGGGATGGCCTTTTTGTTTCTTCTCATGTTTTCGTTGTGGTAAATTGTGTCCCCATGATAGGTTGACCAATAGTCCTCACTAGCAACCACTGGAAAGTTGTTATTGTAGATACCGAATAAGTTCATGACCTTGTAAACTTCTGATAGTTGCAAGAATGGATCCTGACGAACACTGGAACATGCATCAATGACATGTGAACAAGGCATGCGGAAGGTTTGAAACTTTTCGCAGTCGCACCAATTTTTATGAATTTCCACCCTGTAGTATCCCATTGGGTGACCCTCAATATGATTCTTTGTCTCGTCAACAATGAAGTTGTATTCGTGAAGGTCAAATGCTTTAACTCGATGTGAGGCCGCCTTAACAGTTTCCTCCTTCATATATTTTATACATGTTTCGTTGAATAATTTCCCTGATTCCAAAACAGCGCTCCACTTTTTGCCTCTTGCCGCAAAAAGTGACCCCAATCTATAATATGTTGTTCTTACCAACACAATGACAGGGAGGTTTCTAGTTCCCTTAAATACGTCGTTTAGGGATTCCACAAGGTTTGTGGTCATGTGACCCCATTGGCATCCTCCATCAAAAGCCCTTGTCCATTTCTCCATTGGAATGCTATCCACCCAGATTAATGCTTCAGCGTTTGACAATCTAATTTCTTAGCAATAATACATGAACGATGGTTGGTTTAAGGCATACCCAGCGTTCACAAATTTTTTACGGAGATTTCTGTCTTTGATTTCCCGCATAAAATTTTGAGCAATGTGTCTTATGTAGTAGACATGGACAGAAGAAGGATTGTGCCAACCATTAGCAAGATTATTGTAAGCACTCACAATAGAGGCATGTCTGTCGGAAATCAGACATAAGTTGAGTTACGGGGCGACATGTGTTCTGATTTCTGAAGAAGAAACTCCAAGCTTCACCTGTCTCATGTTCGACCAGAGCAAAGAAAATCAGAAAAATATTATTATTTCCGTCTTGTGCAACCGCCATCAGCAATGTTCCTTTGTTTTTCCATACAACCATGTTTCACCGACTTGAATAACATGTTTGCAGAATGCAAAACCTTTGATATACGGTTGAAATGCCCAAAAGAGACGGGAGAATATCCTACATCCATCAACACATGTTCCATCAGGAGTGTATGCTGGAAGTGTCTCCAATATTACAACTATACTAGGAACATATTTTTAAAGTGCTAGCAAATACTGTGGAAGTTGATTGTAAGATTTTTCCCAATTCCCATATACATGTTCAACCATTTTAATTCTTGCAATCCAAGCTTTCTTGTACGATGGGGTATAGTTGAATCGTGCAACGACATGGGAGATAATTGTGCTAACCTTCACAGATGGATCTACGCCCACAAGATGCAAAATCTCTTGACATATTAATTGGGAGCTTAGTTTACCATGATCTTGCCGATTGATGTTGGTTGTGCAACTATGAGGTGGATCCATCGAACCTATCTCCTAACAATCACTTATCTTCTGATAGGACGCTGCTAACGGAAACTTGCAAAGTTCGTTACGACAAACTACGACAGAGCATTTTGAGTCATTGCGGTTTACTTCAAAATTAACAAAGTTATCCATGTGAAACTTTATTATAGCTTTCATGCACTCTGCTTTTGTGCAGTACTGGTTCCCCACTTTCAAGACACCTTCGATTTGTTGAGAAGGATTGTAGAACAAATCTGAGGATGACTTGTCTCCACTCAATTGCAAGTTAGTCATGTGTTGGAGAGGACAATAGATATGACTTAATGGTAATTCCTCTTCATCTATGTCTTCAAGTGGAGTGATTGCAGTGTAGTCCCTAGTTCCAAACAAATTCACCATTTGATCAACCATGGCCTCAGGTTCTTCTTCCTCCTCGTCAACTGCATCAACTTCATCTTATTCCAATGATTGTGACTGATCTATTACCTGAGATTCACCAAAAATTTGGGATTGTTGAGTCTGACAGAGTAATAGATACAATTTGATATAGTCGAACCTAGAGTGTTCATGACTATCAAACATGTGTTGAACATCATTATCGTCCTTTATATTGTATTGAAAATACTTGACCATCATCTTCCTCGGTCTCTTTTCCTTTCTCTGAAACCATGCTAAACCATATTGTCATTATTATTAAAACTTCATAACTGAATACTCCTTTTAACCTTTCTCTGAAACCATGTTAAACCATATTGTCATTATTATTAAAACTTCACAACTGAATACTCCTTTCAACGTAATAACACGTTTCTTATTGTAATTTCTTTCCCTTTCTTCCTCAATCTATTTTTACCACTCAACAAGGCGTTTCTTTAATAAGGATATGGCTACGTCAGTTTAAATACAAAATCTTAATCATGGGTAACATACCTAAACCTCAACATGGCATCTTGCTTAAGATGTAGGTAATCTCACATCTGTTCTGCTGACAAGTATCTCTAAGGAAGGATTTATTATTAGATTCTCAATTGTAATCCTTGAGCAGTAGCAACAAGCTGGATCCCACTGTGCAATTCTACTTGCAGCCATTGCTTCAAGCTTCGTACCAATTTCATCAATTACAATTACTTGCGGCTTCGTACCATGTAGTAAATAAAATTATCAACATGTGTTTGGATTCTAATTGAAATTTCATTGTTTCTTCTACTAGTAATCCTGACAGGAACAAGAACCATCCTTGAAATGATGAAAACGTGTGACATCTTCTCTTACTATAATTTCTCTTCCCACTAGCTTAGAGATATATTTTATGGTAGAATGATAGTCATTACAAACTCTAAGGTTCTTCATGGGCCTTAATGTAGTATACCATGGACTATTTATTAATGCAAATGCAATATGCAGTTGATAAATAATTTGTTTTGGATTTGAACCCAAATGAAGCCTTATTTTTTCTTCACTGCCCTAACCTTCATTAACTTCCTAATTTTAGCAGCATCCTCCCATTTACTACAAGCTGAAAGATATTAACAAGCGCTGATTAAGCACCACATTTTTGTGAACCTTGCAAGAAGACAAAAGTGAACCCCTCATTTTCGTACTGCAAATTTCTAAGTGATCTTATCAGTGGAAACATTATTATCAGGTATGCTTTTCTTCCCATTCAAAGTGATGTCATCGGTGGTAACGTCACAAACACACAAGCTCAAGTTCTACTATTTTCATGACTTGAACTGTTATTTATGGAGAATTTAGGAGCTTACAATTTTTAATGTAAACAAGTGTGAATTTTCACTGCATTGTAAACTGTAACAGAGTCAACATGAAGAATGAAGTTTGTTTTTGTGAGATGTTGGATCGAACTCTAGTATGGTCGAAGTCTGTTCGCGAGTAATGCGTGTTGTAGTCGAAGTTTTTTCTAATATGCATTAGTCAATATTGCTAGGGTTGTTAGCATGTTGAATTGGGCCTTGCTTGTAAGCCCAATTGTTTAAGTTAGCTTGTACCCTAAGTTAACTTGTAATGGGTAATTGTTAAAAAGCCCATTAGGTTAGTGTGTTATTT